CGCATATCTAAAATGAAAACTTCCATAATTAAGTTGACTATCAAAACTCTTATTTCAACAAATATATATTCAAACTCAATATCTAGATTAGACAAACTCAATCACATTAAAATTAGTCCAATCCGAGCCCAAAATGGACTAAAAATCAAGGCACATTTGAAACTCAAAGGCAATAATTTGATGAAGAAATGATATTATAGTTGAGTTAGACAAATCCAAATAGCCCATTATCCCTTAATTTTGATATCATTGAACCCAATTTACTATAATATTATATACTAAATTAAAATCAGACGGCTTTAAAGTTATCATACTTCAAAAAAACATATTTCAAAGCAAACAAAATCAAAAGTCAACGTACCCGAAACTTTCCCTTCACCGCAATCCTTGTCGCTGATACCGCTTTCACAAAAGCAAACGAAGCCCTTCGGTCCCCGCCCACATAACCCAGCGGAGCCCTCACACCTCCGGCATTCATCACCGCCGCCCCCATCCCAATGCATCCGAAACCCTAGCTTAACCACTCCCACCACATCTCCATAGAAAAATCTATCGGTCCCCACCGCCGAGGCATGCATCACCGGCGCCACCACATTCTCCTCACAATCTGCAGCTGACGTCACCCCTAAATCAACCGCCACTGCGTACGAAGATTTTCCTCCTTTGCACCGCAAAGGAACAGCCAGAGAGGCTGTTTTAGAGCAGTTGTAATAGAAGAAGAGTTGGGTGTCTTCCGAGGTGAAGGAGAGAGTGGAGTTATAAAAATTGGAGTAGATGGATAGGTTGCGAAGCGGTTGGGGGCAGGTTTGATCGGCAATGGCAGCGGTGTCGAGAAGAGAAAGAGTTTGCGAGGAGATGTTGAAGGCGGTGACTGTGTAGTTGCCGGCGTCGGGGAGTGAGAGGATGGTGTTATTGTCGACGCAGTGGAGCATGAGATCAGGATAGCCGCAGAACGTAGAGAGAGGGTTTTGGGCAAGCCAGAAAGGGTAAGGGATTTGGATGGTGGAGTTGCCGCAGGTTGAGGGGGAGCAGTTGGGGATGGGAGAGGCGGTGCAAGGAGGGAGGAAGGAGAAGAGGATGGTGAGGAATGGAGAGAGAGTGAGGGGAGGGAGAAGAGGTTTGGGGGAAGAAGGCATGGTGCTTGCTTTTGAGTTTTAGGGGACGTAGAGAGAGAGAGAGCGGCGTAGTATTTGTTGTGTTGGCGAAGGATAGGTGTTTGGTCAACTGTTCGCATTAG